ATCTTTAAAATAGTAGCAGTGGGGAGGTCCTTGGAGCTTTTGGGAATGGTTGCTGCGCAAGCAAATAGGGTTGCACAAGTAATAACTGTGAAATCTCTGTTTTGATCCATTTATATATTGGGATCATTTTCTATGGGAAGGTATTTGTCCTTATCCAAGATGTTAGGGAAGTAGGAGTCAGTGGTTTGAAAAGTTTTCGATAAGAGCAGTGTCTGAAGTTGAGGACAGGTCTAGCTGTTCTTCAGAGCTAGAGGTTGAAGCAACTGGTGTCTTAATAGTTTGTTGGTGTTCTGTTGGGTTGAAACGATTCTTATTTTTTATTAACGCTTATTTATTTTGGTTTTTTCTGACCATAATGAATATGAGTAACTTCTAAAATAAACTCTTCCCTAGTTGTGAAAGTGTATTTGAGCTGTTGTAGAACTATAAAACTAACTAATAGAATCAAAAATATAATAGGACTTTAAAGGTGAACGTTTTTATTTTCTTAGACTTTATTTTCGAAAAGTGATTGATAGGAAGAGTTCATATTAGTGTCTTTTATAATGATAGGTTCAGTAGATATAGCAAGTAATTTTGGAGTGAGTTCATCATCTAAAGTTTAGTTAGTATTCTATTTTTTTTGTTAGTATTTTATTGTTGACAGACAACACAGAACGATCACAGTTGGTGTTTTTTTTTCAGTATTTTTTGGCATTTTAGTAAATTGGCAAAAAGAGTTTTTTTTATTTGTTATAGATATGATACATTAAAGTATCGTAATCATGCTTATCAAAAAGATAAATATCCTAGTGAAATTTTTCAAAGGAGGAAAGAATTTTTTTTAATTTTTTTTTTTGAGATTTTCAAAGATGACAAATAGACAAATAAAGAAGAAGAAGTAATCAGCTAAATATAAAGAAAAAAGGATAAAAACCATAATCAGTAATAATATAAATGCCAGAAGGATCAAGATTTATTATTTCTGATCACGCAAAAAAATGATAGATAGAAGCAATAGAGCGAAGTGGTACTGAAATTACAGCTGTAATAGGAGGTGGAGGGGGAGAAACTGAAATAAGAGGAGGTGAAGATACAGTAACAAGATGAGGAGAAGAAACTGAAATAGTGGGAATGGGAGGAATTAAAGTTATAGCTGTAGACGAAGAAGAAGTGACAGCTGTAAAAGAAGAGAGAATAGAAATAGAAGATACAGTTATCAATGTTAGAGCAAGAATTGAAGTAAAGGAATTAACAGTAAGTGATGAAATAAGTCATTAATTTTGCATTTATATATGTAACACTTTTGGTTTAAATCTAATTCCTAAAAATGATTGAATATACATTTTTTAAATATTTATCTTTCAAATTAAAAATTTATGGAATAAAGTAATAAACTAAGGTTCAAAAACCTTTTTATAATTTTTTTAAGGAGGGTGGCTAAAAAAACAATGAATGATCAATGAATTACGAGATCTACGTAATCATTATAACTCACAAGCTAACAGTGTAAAACACTCTTTTATTAGAAAAAATCTATAAATTCAAGTAAATTAAGGTTTTTTTTAAATGATTCTTCTTAAAGTTCTAAATATGAAGCAATGAGATTTTAATGATAAATTTAAAAAAATTCATCAAATCAAGACGTAATTTATAATTGTAAATGAATTATCAACTACATAATTAATGATGCATGATGAGTTATAAAGTTAACTCTATAGAAGGCTACTTCAAATTATGTAATGTTTTTCCAATAATCTGAAGAATCAAAAGTTAAATTGATTTATTTATTCAGTATTAATATCACCCTTTGTAAAAAAAATTAATGATAAAAATAAACATTCTGATTTACAGATGACATTGAAATAAAAGTAATATAATCCAAATAATTTATCAATTTATATATTTATTCAATAAGATTATGATAGCTCAAAAAAAAACAGTTACTGGAATGCGAAAAAATTATTTGATAAAGTTTTGCAATTAATTGTATCTTTTTATAATAATCAACGATCTTGATATTTTAATAAAGTATATAAAATATATCAGATATAATTAAACCATTGTAAATTTAGAAGAAAATATCTAGTCTATTAAAGCAAAGCCATAAAAATATTGTTAACAAAAATTAATGGCGCAAATAAATTTATATAATGACAAACTTTTTAATTTTTTTTAAAATATAAACTGACTTATCAGACTTTTTTTCATAATAACTTTATTTTTTTTAAAAAATAAAATAACATTAATTAGATGCTAGAATAGATTATTATAATTTTATCTTTAACTGGTTAAATTTTAACTTAGTTACTGGATAGTACGCGTAAAATGATATAATCAAATTCAGTTTAATTCTCATTTAATATATTGATTTATACAAAAATAAATGATAAAATATTAATTTCATTTACTGTGCTAATAACAATTGTCTTCTACACTTTAATCTCAGTTGTCATATGAAAATAGTTTATCTTAATTCTAAAGAATAGATTTGGTAGCTTTTGTACCAATTGGTATTTCATCTAAAAATTATTTTATATTAACGCAAGTCTACTGTAAATATATAAACAAAATATTTTATAACCGTTTATGATTTATAGTAAAACTTATCGACTTACTCTAATAATTACTTTATGCCTTTAAATCAAATATTATATATACGTATTATAAAAATAACATTTTTAAAAGTTTCATAATTGATAAAAATTGTTACTTAACAAAAATTTATAATTTAAAAAAATTTAAATAAATGTTCTTCCAATTTTAAATGGATAATTTATTATGTATTACATATTTAGAGAAGACAGGGCATAAGTTGATAGCTTCTTATTTAATAAAATTTAATATAAAAATTATTCCCGTTAAAACTAAAATAATTTTTTTTTGTTGCACACTTTTTTTTATTTTACATCATTTCTCACATAGTAGGTTTATAATTCACTTTAAATAATAGAATTTATTTATGATAGTATTTGATGAATATTAAATAAATTTTAAATTCATTGTCTAATTAAATTTAATATAACATTTCTTTTAAAATCTACACCATTGTTAAAGGTTCAAAATATAATTCAAAATAAATGAGGTCATCATCAGTATCGGAATTTAGACCTGATATAATTCCAATAATAGACTATTGGAATCATTCAAATTTTTTAGGTGACAAAGAGCTAGTAATTAATATTACAAATATTTCAAATTTATCTCATCTCAATATTTTTTCCTGTGGAATGCCTTATGTTACTTTTGTGTTTAAAAAAGTCCATTTTAATTAAATAACTTCTTTTTTTTGCTGTCTTTTAATAAATAGATATTTTACCAGCAATAAGAATTTTCATGATTTACATAGCTATCAATCTCATAAAATTCTCTTACATAGTTCACACAATCCTTGATTATCGAGACAATCTGTTTCATTTATAAATTGTAACCTCCACTATATAGTTGTATTCAGTTCTTTAGTTTATATTTATATTTGTAAGCAGAAGGTTTTAATTAAAGAATATTGAATAATTAATCAGTGTTTCCTCAACATCAGCATTCTACACTTTTGCAGTTTCAATTTTATAAACTCAATAAATGCTAATTACTAAATAGTAATTAATTAAAACAAAAAAATAAATATAACTATAAATTTAATATAACGAATTTTAAAAATAAAAAAAAATAATTAGAACATACTGGTCAAAATAGATAGGCAAAGACTAACCAAAATTATCGAAAGCTAATTATAAGCGAAATTTATGATTTTTCAGATGGTATTAATTGTAACAATATCATTCTGGTTCTTTATCATTCTGGTTTTTCTAAATCTATAATAAAAATTCTTATTCTGCCTCAATCATTACCAAATTGTGCTTTCAAATAATTTTAATATTCATATACCAACAATATTCACATATTACTGTATATACTGATTTTTATTGTATAAATTTAACTTAACGTATCTAGTCTTAATGAGCTGCAACAGTACCAAAAATATATTCTAACCAGTTATAAAAAAATTATTATTTATTTATTTTAACTTTAGTTTTCTTTTTTTTGGTAAAAATCATATAAGCTTTATAGATGTAAAAAGTCATATTACCATTAGATAATACTAAATTCAGCGAATATCGCAAGTCTGATATAGAATCCTGAAAGTTTAATCTGAATTCTATCAAAAATTTTTATTGAACACAAGTTAAGGTAAGGCAGAATGTTAAAAACAAGAACTATAGTGTTTAGTTATAAAACAGCGCATTCTTTAGAATATTACAATAAAAAAAATGTCATCTTAAAATTTGTAGAAAGTAACATAGTTTCTATTATATGATTATATTATTTAAAATTATATAATTAAATATTGTAAAAATTTGCGTATATATAAAATTGGAATTAGTTAAATTGTTTCATTTAATGCTCGAGATGTTTCCTTCCTTTAGATTCAGCTACTCTATATATTTCGTTTCATTCATTTTAATAAAGTATTTGTAATATGTGTAAGTGACTGTAAATTAATTAGATATTAACTAATTCATAGAATAAAGAATTCTTTAAAACTTTTAAATTTTTATTACTTTATAGCAGAAATAGTTTGTTATTTAAAAAGAAAATTACAGAATCTCATGTACATTCGAAATTTTCTAAGTTGATAAATTTCAACATCTCACATGTCAGTATTCATAGGATAAACAAGATCTTCCTCCAGAATAGGATAAGAAAGTACTTTCTCTGGTTTATGGTATTATTAAGCCACATTGGGCAAATGATGGTGAAAGGTAGTCCTTAATACAATCTAAATCAATGAGAAGCAACTGAGGCATCTTGTGAAGAATATTTACCATAAAACGTCGAATAGTGAAGAAAACGAGAATAATTTCATAGTCATAAGAATAGCTACTGACTAACCGAAGTGTTATATTGTACCACTTTAAAAGTGTTGGTCCGCTGACACTGGGATCTATTGTATAATATTTCAAATATTTGTCTTGCATAAATATTGCAAATGGTTTTCCATCAAAAGCAGATTCAACGGCCCATCAATGATCAATGTTGGCGTATTCGTCAGCACAATGGAAGATAGCTGACTCAAGAAGATGAGTAATGTTATCATCACACAATACCAATTTGCTAAATTGTGCATTGTCTGTTATTTTAACAAGAAACTTTTCTTTCTCGATAAAGACACCCACATTGCATAATTTAACTTAACATTTAAGAAGAGTCGCATCACCCTTCACATCATGAAAGATATCTGACAGGCACCACTTTATTTGCTTTTCACTAGAAAGGTAGGATTTTTTCTTGTCGATTTGGTAAATGATATTATAAATGTCGTCTTCTTTTTTTGGTGACGCTAAGGCATTGAAGCGTATTAATACTTTTCTCTAAAGCTAAAATTTATGTGTTTTTAACATTGATTAAAGACTTAATAAGTGCTCTTTGGTAGTATCCATGAAGGGTCTCAAAATCTTGCCACCACCAAGGGCGATCTTTCGTTGGGATAAGGAGTAGTTCATCTAGAATCAAGAGATACGCTGTAGATAGAAGCATTTTGTTAAGTAACTTCATTAACATAAAAGGTATAAAAATAATGAATTTATCATTGAAATGAGTTTCGGTGTGGATTAATAGAAAGATTAAACCTGCTCACTCAACATCGCCAATGGAAGTCCAACTAAGTAACAAAAATCTCTTCTAACAGTTTGTTGAGTAATCCTAAATGAAATTATGGTACAGATGTCTTCGATACTTTTTCAGCAACCTGGTTTTAATTTGTTAATTTTAACAGATTGTACCGACATTGTATGCATATCGGGATAATAAAATATTCCTCAATACCTTCTTACTTTCGTATATCTGACTATGCATAACAGCACTAATTTCTTGTAGCATATTCTTAAAGAAGATGCGGGCGTCCTTTCATGATATTTTTTATAATGGTGAACGTAATCAATGTATCTTTGATATTTATCGATATGTATATTGACAGCTTTAAGAGATCGACCTTTTTCTTTGAAATGGCTGCGAAGGATTTCTTTTATCACATTATCAAGGCAATAGAGTTCAATGAAATTCAGCGTATTGTCTATTAAGCTCACAGCTATTGCAACATGCACTCCTATTCGTACTTTTGCATGATATTCATCAATTTGTTGGTCATAGTTATATCTATTAATTAAATCAATAAATATATAAATGGAATCATTAAGGGCAGCCTTAACCAATTCTATTTCAACAGTTAAATTTATCAATACTGATTCTTCTGCATGGGTGACCAGATGTTGTGACTCCATTCCTGCTCACGATTTTCCTATTCCTGATCCACCAGGAATCAATTTAAATTGTTGATCTTTATGATTACTACTCAAGCGTTTGAGATAATTATTGTTGGCGACTTTTGTAATCTCATCCATAGCTTGTTTGCGATTATAGAACTTGTAACTAAAACTTTGTTGATAAGAAGAGAATTGTTATTGTGAAGAAAGCATATTAGCTAAAATAGTTGCTGAAAAGATGAACGATGAATGAGAATCGAAATGGACTGCAAATTTCTTATTAAGAGGTAAATTATTAGAAGACACTTACCAGTAGTAGCGGGAGACAGAGGTTGTATGATGATTATACTATTTGGAATTAAACGTAAAGAACCCAAAAAATTCTCATTTGGGGGTAAAATCTCGCCTTTGAGTTCTTCAATGATTTTTGTTTAGGATCCTTCTTCTTAGTCAATATTTTAAGTTTTTTTTACATATCGTTTCCTTGACTAAGACCCTAAACCATCCATAGGTTCATTTTTTCAGCTTAATATGCTTTAAAGATATTCAGATTTTGTTTACATATCAGTTTTTTTAAATCCCCAAAAGTGATTTGATCAGTACTGACTTTTACTTCATCAATAATGATACCATATTTAGAAATGACAAAATATAAAGATAAAATCATTTTAAGATAACTGCAAAGATAGAAGAATGGGAAAGAGAGAAGAGTTTAATAATTTTTTTTTTAAGTCATAAACAACGTTATATATACGTAATGACACGTCATATGTCATACTATATTTAACTTATAGTTACAACCTTTTAGCTAATGCTGATTGATCGACTAGATTAAACTCTGATCCTTTTTCTAGTAATATATATATATATATTTATATGATATGAAAAAGAAGAGTATAAATCCAAAATTATTTAAACATATATGAAATCTTTGGTTATACAAAGCAACTAATATTAATTTATTACCAAATTTTGCATGACTAAATTTATTTCTAACTAAAACAATTTAGGCAAAATCTTAGAGACGTTTTGACACTAATTCTATTCAATCTTCTATACACAAAACATAAAATAAAATAATCTTATTGTAGCTAAGTTGACACACTCCTTTCTCAAAAAACTTTCTGATACTGAAGACTTCTAGAAGTGGATTTATTAATATTGCAATTCCAAGTATTTTCACATGATTTGAAAGAATGTCGACCTTACTTACTTCTTTGCTAAATTACAGCGAAATAATCAGAAACTATATAGGAAGTTTGCTAGGAAAATCGGGCTCTGGGAATTTTTTTGACAAAATTAAGACCTTATTACATTTTAATCTAAAAACTAAAATGCAATAAAAATCAAAATTTTGTTAAAAAATTCCTAGAGCCTGATTTTCCTAGCAAACTTCCTATATAATAACTTCTGGGTTTACCTCAAATACATTAGAATAAATTATCTTAAATAAGATGTGCAGTTAATTTCATATTCAGTTTAATCTGTTGATCTAATATGAAACATTTGATCAGATCAAGAAGAGCATTGCTTGTCAGTTGAGGTCTAAACAAAATCTTACAAATTACTTTTAAATCTAATCATTGAGAATGATAAACTTCGATGAAAGATAGTTATAATGAATATGCATTATCAATATTAGATCCTTCCTACGAAGATAATTTTTCTCGATATGATAAAGATATCAGGTGCATATTCAAGTATGACAAATCAACTTAATCAGATTTTTATCAATACTTTTTCATAATTATAGTTGCGGGGCAAAACCTTAAACCCATTTTGGCAAAAGTCGAAACTTTTTAGAATTTGTTTTGACAGTTTTGACGGGTTTTGACGGGTTTTGATAGTTTCGACAGGTTTCGACAGGTTTCGATGGGTTTCTATGGGTCTCAAAAGTTTTGACGGTTTTGATAAAAACTTTGCGAATTCTAATTAAATTTGACAGGTTTTAACAGGTTTATCGTATCACAAATCGTAGAATATATAAAGAACTTTTTTTTTTTTTTTCTTTTAATTTTATCTAATGCAACCCATTTATCATAATAATGAGCAGCAATGAAGATGCAAAT